TTGTATTCAACACCTAGTGGCAAAGTTAATAATGCTGAAATCTCTTCTCCTATGCAAGGCAATCCAGTTAATAAACTAATATCAAAGAGCTCACAGACATGGCTCCACAAGGGAAATGAAAGCAATTAAAAGAGCCAAACGAAAACAACAAAGCCGAACTAAAGATCGGCTTATCTATGGCGAATTTGCATTTGGATAATTGTATGAATTCAAACAAACCCACATCTTTCCAAATCTAGCCAAAAGCAAGTTCAAGGCGATTTATGCAGTCAACCCATTCTGATTTCCTCCAAGCTGGCCAAGTTCCAAAAGGTCCAACCCATTTACTCCAATCAGGTTTCAGCTGAAAAGGGAGAGGATGTTCTTTTGGCTGTGGGTAAATTGAAGCAAGAGGAGCCAGCAGGTAAAATTAACAAATCCTAATTGAACTAAATAACCTACAATTTAAAGTAAATTTGCGAGAAAAAGCTGTACCCAAATTAAGTAATTCTGCCATCTCTCTAAGGACTTAAACACTACCGTGACTTAAGATTAACAAATCCTAATTGAATTAAATAACCTTCAATTTAAAGTAAATTTGTGAAAAAAAAGCTGTACTTAAATTAAACTAAACATGTTTATTTTTAAATTAAAATGCTATGTATTGGTAGATCTGGAAATTAAAATGCTGTAGAATTAAAGACATCATCTTAGTTAACATTAAAATCAACGTGAACAGTAATTACACTACCATGCTTGAGGTTGAAAAGAGGTATGAACACCACATAAGTAATCATTGAATAAAATGCTACTTATCATAAAAATTAAATCAATTGCAAATGGAAAGAGAATAATACCTTGTATAAACTTGAAAGATTGAAGTTCATTGCATGAAAGGAAATTGTTGAATTGAATACATGAATTAATTTGCCTATTGGAATGATGAAAAAACAACTTAATTCTATTGGAATCTGTGCTAAAATTCAAAATCTGGAAGCGGATTGTAGAGAAAATAAAGTTTGAAAATTTGCAGATGTTTGAGTAGTGCTAGCCGTGTGTTCCCCTTTGCAAAAATCCCCTTTTGTTCTCTTTTGGCAGGCAGTATCCTCCCACTTTTTGCAGTTACAATTATGGGTGGTTTTTTGAAGTAGTAAGACAATTCACCCTTTGACCTGATCTAATCTCCTTGCAGATTTCACCACATGTACTCTTATCAGATAAAACTCCCTTTTTAACTGCAATCTTCTCTTATTTTTCAGCTCCCATTATTCCTTTCTGTCTCAAGAAGATAATTACTCCATAAAAATTATCTTTACCTCTCCTCTTTTGCCAACACAAGTGTTGATCTGTCATGGGGCCCAAAATCCAAATCTGACATGGCTCAATCTCCTCTAAAAAATATTTTACATGTGTCATTAATTTAAAATTTTGTAGTTTATGGTGTAAATAGAATCCGAAAACATCTATAATAAAACTCCCATTTTTTTTATTTGTTAATAATGTTTTAGTAATTTCAATACTAAGACTATTTTTTTCATACAATTCTTTTTTTTATCCAATCTATTTTTAGTCCTTTAGTTATCTTTTTGCATACGAAAAAACTTTCAAAGTACAAGAATTAAGAGGGAATTAAAAAAGTTTTTTTTTTATCCTTCTACTTTAAAAAACCCTTTTAGTATTTCTACTTTAAAATTTTCATCATATATTATACTATATGTGTAAAAAAATGATAGAGAAACTAAAAAGGGGTCAAATAATAAAATTTTAAAGACTAAAAAAAAATCTTCTTAAGTCAAGTGATTAATAACTTTTTTGTTAAAATGGAGGGATAAAAATGGAGTTTTAACCTAATAGATAACATCAGCATTTTTAATCAGTAAAAATTAACCAAAAAAAAATCAGCTTCTGTAATTAGAAATTAGAGAAGTCCGTTAAGGGTTGTTTTTTTTTTTTTTTGGGCTCAAAAGCAGAAAAAAAGATGGCCTTTCTTTAGTTTACTTGTCAAACCCACACCCCAATTCTAACCCTCTCACACGTGTAATCTTTTGCGCTAATACACACACACGTGTCTACCCGTTTTTCACCGTAATATAGTCTAGCATCAGCGAATCGAGGGAAGAAACAGCGAGCTTTTCTTCTTCTTCTCATTTCTCTGTGATTGCGCAGCCATGGCGATGAACAATGGACTGAAATCAGTCTCCAAGCTATTGACCTCTTCTCAATCTCTTTTGTTGAAATCAGGTTAGTTCTTGTTTTTGGAGATTTGGGTTTCCTTTCCCTCTTGATTTTGTGTTTTTTGGCGGAGAAAATATTGAGATATAACGGGTATGCATATATTGGGTGCTTTTGGTTGTTTGGATGCTACAGCTTGTGTTATGATTTGGGTAGATCTGATTGAAGGTATAATATTAGTTGATGATTTTGTCTCCCATAATGGTGTTTTTTGCTTTTATAGATGCTAGTTGCGTGTGTTGTGTTCGTCAATTTTTGAGAATATTTGTTGTTTAGATTACAATGAAATGTATGATTTTGGGGATATTTATTTTAAAAGTTGGAGAATTGATTGCTTTGACTGAGCTAGAATCTGGGGATTTTGCGGGGTTAAAGCTTAATAGCTCAAGGTGGGGTTTCATTAATGGTGGATCTTTAGGTGGCTTTGAGTCTCTTTGCAGTTGTTTTGTCCAAGCCTTACCTCTGCTATTTTATACGACATGGTACAAGTGCATTATGGCCATTTGTTATTTCGATTGCTCTTAAATTCTTGTCGGAAACTTCTGTTCAATTAACACACCATTAGTTATTTGTTCTGTGTCATAGGAATGATGTAAATGGGATGAGTTCCCAAATGTAATGCGAAGATTTTAACACATCATTTGTTGGATTATGTTGGTAGATTTGTTAATTAAATAGCATAACTCTTGTTGGTCGTAAAGTTAATGGTCAGTGATTGATGTTTAAAAATGTTTTAGAGCTCAATACTCTCATTGATCAGAAGTTTAAGCTAAGGAATCTTTGGAGCTATAAATTTTAAGCTCAAGAAGCTTATTGATCCATTTATGAGAAAAATATGATTCTTATGTCTAGGATTAGGAGTAAGTATTGGTATGACCTGAATGTTGGGACTTCTGACTTTGAAGCCTGATGGTCAGTGATTGATGTTTAAAGAAAAGGATTCATAAAACCTTCAGTTGTTGTGATCATCAAGTACTGTGAAACATGTAAGAAAAGTTTTATTTATTGCATACTTCGGCATCCTCTACAAACATTGGAGGTTTTGTGAGTTAAGTTTGTTTCCAAAAGTACGATCATCAAGGATTGGTTTGTAGTGTCTGGCTACCCTTTTGCAGTGTATAATTTGAATGTGATCATAATGCTTGTTGACTGTATAATAAGCTTTTGTATGAAATGTGATTCCAAAAGGTCAGTAAGTAACATTTGTAAGGTTTTCTGCTACTCTCTTTAGAGTTCATGGCTAGCATTCTTTCTGTTTGTTTAGCACAGAATAGATATGAAACAATTTTATTTACTCATGACAACTGAAATCCGGTAGTTAATGTTGAACTAAGTATCTAAATGATGCTAGGATATATCATATATGCACTTATTCTATTTTTCTGTCATCTGGCAGCAAATAGAGGGTTCCATTCAACTGGAGTGAAGAGGATGGGAGGAGGACATGGTCATGGCCATGATGAACCATACTACCTTCATGCCAAACACATGTACAACCTGGACAGGATGAAACATCAGGGGCTGAAGATGTCTCTTGCTGTTTTCACGGCCTTCAGCATTGGTGTCGTTGTTCCTGTCTATGCTGTCATTTTCCAGCAAAAGAAGACTGCATCTGCTTAAACCATGATGAATTGCCTCACCGCAAAATAATAGAAACAGCTCCTGAATGCTTTCCTAGTAAATTGTTGGAACAGTTCAATTGGATGACACTCAACAGTTTGATATTTTTGGAACTTCTGGCTGTTTATTTTCACTGTTTATAAATGGAAGTTAGGATTTTCTATTGCATTTGATAAAATAATACTTGATGCACCAATCTTGATGAATGTTGTTTGCTCTATCTTTGCTTGAATTATTACAGTCTTAGCGTGTGTTTGGTTTGGCTAATTTTATTATTATATAGCCATTTTTTTCCCCCTAAAACAACTAGTTAAGCTGTTCGGAAATATTAGCCTATAGATATCAACTGCTCTTAGGCTAGGAGTCAAACCAATAAAACCTTAATGGGTATGGGAACAAAGGCTCAAAAAAAGGGGGTATGGGAAGTTAGTGTAGATTTTGCGTTGTGCTTAGTTGTTACAAGGATTCAAACTCCCTGACCTTAACCCAGAACTAAGAAAATGTGTAATGGAGAACAAAGGTGAATGGTATCTCCACTCCCCATGGTTAAACAAATGCAATTTATTGGAAAGGGACTATAAAGGTATGTACCATAGTGTGGATTATTAAGAACTTAATTGATTTTAATCAATCTTTATTAATAAGAAGATTCCGGATCTGACTGTGGAGAAATACAAATGAGAAGCTTGGTTTTTATTAATTATTTTAGTGTGGTGAATTGGACAGGAGAAAAGAGGAGAGGAGACGGCGACCATATTGGCAGATTCCCAGTTATTCCCTTTGAGCTTTGTCTTTTATTTGACAAATAGGACAACCCTAATTGCAACAGATTAAGCTAATAATTAAGTAAATTTTTTTTCAAAAAACCAAGGATAAATATAGATGGAACCTAACCTAATCCACCAGAGTATCAAGACGTGTGGTGTATATTAGCCTGAATGAAAGAGGCCTCCAGCTTGTTTGTTCTCTGCAAATATTCACTCTCCAATTCCATGCTTTCTTTAAGAGAATAATTTCTTTCAGAATCACTCCCTTATTGCTCATTTCTTTGCCTTTTTTGTTGTCCTCCATCTTCTCCATATTTGGGTCTCTCATCGTCTTTTTATTATTTAAGATTCCATTCTAGTTCTCATTAAAAAGCAAAAGAAATAAGAAAAGGTTCCATTCTAATATTCACCAATACCTATCAACTTAACCAATGAAATATTGATCTGAGTAGAATAAACTTGATTCCTTTAAGTAATGTTTTGAGTCTTATGAATAGATAAATAAGTGTTGGAAGAGTTCCACCTAATAAGGTCCGATGCGATTCGATATCAAATTAATTAAAATTTAATGTGATTATGAATATCAAAAAATTAAAAATAATAATAATAATAAAAATAAAAACCTATGAACTTAGTAGCACATCGATAATCTCCAGTATCAAATAAAGCTTCTTTCCTCAGTTATAAACGAATCCCATGCGTGCGTTTATTATAATTTTTTTCATATTTAATTATGAGATATAAAAAAAATATTTTTTTAATTCTTTCTTTACTTAATTTAAAATTTAAATATTAAATTTTCAACTACTCTACACATTTTTTAGGATCTGCCGAATGTGATCCAAGAAAGGTTACGAGAAGATATGCCGTGCCATTAAATAATTTTCAGTGATTTTATCACCGTCCTTTGTTGAAAAAAAAAAATTGTAACAGACTCAACTGCGAATGAATCTCATTTCTGCATTTTCTGCTACAAACAACAAACCCCAGAATAAAAAAGGCAACAAAAGGAAATATACAAGAGAAAATAAATATAAATTGAAATTTTAATTATCATTGAGAATCTGCATTAGGGTTTTCATCATCTCCACTTTCACTGCCTTGAGTATGGCTTTCTTGATGCTGCTGCTGCTCCAAATTCATCCCTAAACCAACTCTAGAACTGCCACCGTATGCATTTACGCCGCCGCCGGGGGCCAGAACCGCCATGTTATTCTCTGCCGTGACGCTTAACCCCAGCTGTTGACCTCCCATTTGTGGTTGTATTATCATTGAACCGAGCTGAACAGGGCTAACCCGGCCGCCACCACCCGAGTAGTGAGCTGGGAACGTCCACATCTGGGCTTCTGGCATGGCGTTTGAAGTGGGTGCACCGCCGCCTACTGGGAGCATCCAAAATGCATTGCCACCGTTGGTGGTGGCCTGTGCAACTGCCCACATAGCGGGAGCTGGCATGACGTTGGCTGCTGCTGTACGAACCGAACCGGGTTCTTGGTGGTCCTGCATTCCGGTTCTTCCCGGTTTAGTAGAATCAGCATTTACGCCGCTAGTTTCGGCGGTCTGCTGTGAGGACTCCTTGAAAAGATCTTCTCTGAATGGTTTCGTAGCGAAATTCTCATCGGAGCTTCTCATAGAACCGTCGTTCAAGATCTGAGGGTAAAGCTGATGGTGGAACCCCAACATGGCGGCCGTGTTGCCGCTGAATCTCCGGTTCTGATCATCCCCATTACTGTTATAAAAACCCAAAGCGCTGTGAAAGGAGACGGGAGCTGATTTCGACGCCGGTGTCGAAATTGTAGACCCGCTGCCACGGAGAGAGACGTTAAGGCTCGAGAAATTGGCTGGAATAGTTCCGGTTCCGGTGACAGCGATGATGGAAGGCTCCGCTTGTTGTAAAAGCCACTCTATAGTTTCTCCATCGGATTTGTGACCCAATTCCCGAGTAAGCTGAAAAACCCTGGCAGCACAGACGGCGGGCATACGGATGCGACGGCCACGGCCATCGACCTTGGTGTGGCGGTCTTTAGTGGGTCTTTTATTGGGTTTGTTTGTGATGACAGTAGAAGAAGTAGGAGTAGTGGAAGTGGCGGAAGAATGATGAGGAGCCCCAGTTTGGTTGGGGATGGAGCCCATGAATGGGACATGAGCTGGGGCCGGAGACGAGGACCCATGTGCGCCACCACTAACGGCGGTTGGTGGTTGACTATCCAGAGCAACTAACTGTAGCGAAGCTGCTGCTGCTTCTTGTTTCTGGCGGGCCTGGTGGTGGCGGTGGTCAGTGCTGGTAGTAGGGGTAGTACTGCTACTTTTACTGCTCTGAGACTCCATAATTTCCAACTACAGGCTGTTTCAGAAAAACAAAATCTTTAATTTAAAACGAAACCCATGTTGTTTTCAAAGAAATTTTCTCAGGAAAATTATGAAAGAGAGAACTTTTGGAGAATTTGGGTGTTAAGAGGGGGTGAGCATCTGAGTGGGATGGGCGTGGGTGGGATCTTCTTTTCTTCTTTGTGATTGACTGCTGTCCCTCCTTGGGAAGAAAGAGAGGAAGAGAGAGAGTTCAAAGAGAAGGAAGGGCCTGTGGTCCTGTGGAAATTGCAGCTCCAGTGCCCCACTCGTGGGGGCCTGCGGGCAATATGAGGATAGCCTTTCTGTCGTCCTTTCTGATTATTATTATTCTTATTATTTTATAATAGGTACAATGTTGAGATAGGAATGAAAATTTATAATATTATAATATTATAATTTTAATTTTAATCATTATTAAAGTATTAAATGTATTTATTAAGTAGTTTCTTTTTTTTTCTTTTTTGATCAGGTTTTTACAAGAAACTGGGTCGAACCCAGCCAGGGGAAAGGAGAAGTGCACAATGAGTGACTGTTGCCACTTGAGTTAAAGGCTCGGTGCATTTATTAAGTAGTTTATGAGGAATAGCGTGGCGTCTTTTATAAATAATGGTAGTAAGCAGTAGAAGACTGTTAGTGAAATAATAAATGGTGGATAATAAATAGTAGATAATATATTTAATTATTATAATTGTTTTATTATATAAAATTAGTAATTATTATTTAAAATTAAATAATT